TCCCAATTGTAAATCTATTATTATTTCATTCTTTGTGTCAGTCAGCACATGGCACATACAATACTATTGCAATAACAGGTCTGGCTTGAGGTGAGAGTAGAATAAAATATGGGGTCATGCTACGATCCAGACATGTTGGCAACAAAGTTGTCTGGCCCTTTGTCTTTCAGCAGCCGAACATCTCTGGATCATCTCAGCCACATCATCCCCATGCCAGAGATCTTACAATAGTGGAGATCCTATTCTAGGCTTCCTCAATTAAACAAATTGTATCGTGTTTCTGGCGTAATGTAATTGGGGTGAATGACATCACTACAATCCATTTACACCACAGTATGGAGCAGCAGATAAATATTATAAATATTAGAGGTGACTATGACCGAGGAAGGGACAGTTAGAAGATTTGTATGGGGACACTATCTGCAGTTTGCATGGTCTCCATGTGCTTGTGTGGGGTTTCCTCCCAAACTCCGGCATGCTGGTAGGTTAATTGGCGTCATGTGTGATGGGGACCATAGACTGTAAGCTCCCATGACGGCCGTAATGTGTGATGGGGACCTTAGACTGTAAGCTCCCATGACGGCCAGGACTGATGTGATGGGGACCTTAGACTGTAAGCTCCCATGACGGCCAGGACTGATGTGATTGGATAGTATGTAAAGTGCTATATAAATGTCTGCAATAAACGTACCCATCTATATGAAACCAAGCTTTAGGAATGATTTAGGTGGGTACGCTCATGATGTCTCCTATCAGTAGATGGAGCCAGAGTCTTATTGTTGTATATTATAACCTTGTCCTCTGTACTGATCACGCAGCAGCAATTGTAGTGATCATCATTTGCCTGCTAGACATTATTATTGGTATTTATACAGTGCTGACAATCTACACAGTGCTTTACATAGTGTACATTCACATCAGTCCCTGCCCTCAAGGAGCTTACAACCTAAGGTTCCGTATCTCTCACACACAGATAGACCTTGTACATTCTCTGCCACCTTATTCAGCCTTGTGTTACTATTTGCTGAACCAGAAATACGCAGGGCCACTTCATTTGTAGTTCCACCCTAAACCAGGGTAGCCAAACTCAGGCCCTCCTGTTGGTGCCACTAAAATAAATCCAATCGTGCCTCTGGGAGCCATGCCTGTGGCTGTCAGTCTTTCAATGTCTCATGGGACTTGTAGTTCTACAACAGATGGAGGGTAGAAGTATGGCGACCTCTACCCTAAACTATAGACATGCCAGGTTGGATCTGAAAGGAACGTTGTAGTTGTCACTGGAGATTGATTGCTAGGAGTAGGAGATGATCACTTAACAAATGGCTCCCAATGAAGTCGGCTACACAAGTACCACGTAGCTGATCCTTATGCTTACTCTGTGACTGGAGCTGGTGAATGTTCATCAAGCAGACCTGAGACAATATTTACTTGGGGATATTTTATTGTTCATTATGCATTTTGATAGAAGTTTAAAAAAAGGAAAGTACAAAAGGTTTAATATTCAGTCCATATACATCTGACACAGTAGAGTTTTCTAAACTGAAGTGGGCCTGCAGACCAGTGTGACATGAATGACGTATGTAGATGGTTTCCCCATATAGGAGTGTGTGTGTGGGTGTGTGTGCTGCTCTGTGAACGTGCCATTAGTTTACTGAATACAAACTCTTGGCTTACACTATAAACATTGACCGCCCGTCTCAATTTCGCCAGGACAGTTTTTCATCGGACAACAATATGGGAGAGCTCAGTAAGAAATGAAGGGTCTCCAGGGAACTTGAAATGCTTATTTGCAGCATTTCTGCTTTCCATGAACAATTTATAGACTTGCAATGTGCCTGTGAACCTTCTAGAGTATCGACATTCCAGAAAGGGTCAATTCCCTAGCACTGCCTCCTTGCACGTCAAAGTCCCCCTAATTACTATCTGTGCTGGCCCAGCTCTTCCACTTCATCGCTTCTCTATATAACCTTTTTATGTAGCGAGATAGGGGCAAAGTAGAATACTTGCTTAAATCTGCTGACATCACATTCAGAATGGCGGTACCTGACAACAGTCTCTGGGTTTTTTGGGAGACCATGCCTAAAGCACATTAGATGCACATATATTTGTATGGGAAAGTTGTTGACACTGAATGGCCTCGTGACAAGTCCAATTATATGAAAGGGAAGGTACAGGAAGTGTGACGCGTATGGCGAGTGTACACGCCTAAATTACTGTTTGCTGATCAGCTCATTTACGTCAAGGAAAGGGCGATATTTTCATACCTCAGTAAGTTGGCTTTAGGTACAATGTCTATGATGGGTATGATATATGAAGCCTGACCTGTAGTACTGATGCACTTAAACAGCTCTGCCGCACCTCTGAGACCTTCAACCCTAATGATTTAAATTCCTGAACTTGCTGTGTATGTAATGAGTGCCGGGGATTTTTATGTTGGACTTTCTTTGTTTCTAAAGATACCTCATGTGAAAAGATCACTCCTGACGGGTGGACAAAATCAGTCACCGGTGTCATCACCCACGGCATTCCTGGCCAATGCTGCTGTTATGAATGCGAGGCTTCTTTTTAGTGCGTCTGTGACAGGTCCACTTAAATTTAACAAAGCACACATAGTGGAGTTGTGGAATACTGACATACCCCCCTTATATCCTGCTGCTTAGCCCTTAGGGCACACACCTCCATAGGATAAATCCATGCAAGGCTTGTGAGGACTGGGGCAGGTTTATAGGACATTTGTACTGGTGGATCCAGTCTGTGCAATGATCCCAATTCTCAATCTATATACAGTGATACAAGGAAGTCCAGACCTCTTCTTCTATATACAAAATAAAATCATAAAAACTGCAATGTATCTAGCACTCAGATGCACCGTGACGCTATCAGTATATAGCCGGCTCTTGGCCACTCCACCTCATGTATACAACCGTTTGGCAGAAGGTATAATATTTGGTGCATTTTTTTATATAGCTTTGTATTTAAAGATTTGTTCAGAGACTGGCTGTGTTATACCCTATAAATGTCCATTTTCCATATATCTCTAAACCAATCAGTCACGTGCTGTGAAGATCCAAACGCGTGTACTGAGGAGGGTTGGAGAAGCCTTATGGCAGACTCTGACCCTCTTCTCACCATTGTAAGTAGTAGGAATCTTCCGGCTGCCGCTCTCACACTGGTATATCTGTGGTGCTGACCGCTATTCCACTGGTCTGCTTTTTGCTGTTCCTCCGTGCAACATCTGTCCTTCTGTACGGCTGATTCCTCAGGTCTGGAGAGGAGACAGAGGAGTATAAGTTCTGCTGGGTAATATGTATGATGATCGTTGTTCAGGGCAATACATCATATTACTTCCTGCACTACCATTCTTCTTTCTGAAACCTAGCTATTCACATCTGAACCAAAGTGACTAAGACAATGCTCCTCATTGAAATCCTAGGTGACCTTTTTTACTACAACTCCCTATATTCAGCTGTACGTAAGCAAAGGGGTGGGATGCAGTGACGTCACTGATCATCTATGGCAACATAGTTCTATTGGGTCCAGGTCAATGTGACCGTATAAGCTCAATGATAAGGATTCTGCCTGTTTATATACACCTTTGGGGCGGGGAATGCCCCAGCCCACAGCTGATTGGGCAGGTGGCCCCATGTGCCTTCTGGGTTTGGAGGAGCTCACGATCAGTCTGATAATCAGGTTATGGATTGCATTCATCTGATAAACTAATGTTGTGTGTTATGGAGGTCTGATGTGGCAAGCTTGTGTCTCTGGGAAGGTGATTAGTTTTGGGGTACAAAGTCAGATCTCTCTTGAATCACTTTGTACCCCTTCTCTTCTACAAACCCTTTCAATCATTCTTTGTGAGCAGAGGCTGCTTTTCTGTATCACTACTAAAGGTCCATTATTTAGAACATTCCATAGAAAAAAATGTTTACAAATGTATTTAAACCTGATGACTGATTTATATGAAACCCACCTTCCCCCTTATTAGGGACAGGCATGCTAAACCCCCTCCCATCCCTTGTAAGCTGGTTGAGGTGTGCTTTGTAAAAACTGATCCTGCTAATTGTGGAACGAAGGCCATTTGGTGTAAGAAATCAGAGCATGAGCTGCCTCCGGTCTAGGAATGATGTTGAGGGCCAAGGGACACGAGGAAGGAGACTACCCTGTTCCCTGCCCCCCATCGTTGAATGCTATATAGCATATTCTTGGAGGCTGAGGAGTATAGATTCGTGTTTGACATCGGCAGGGGTTGATCAGAATCGAATCTCCTTTTGAATACTTGCAGCGGTATTGCATATTGTGTTTTGCAGAATAGTTTTTCTTCCAAACAGTTTTTCTTTTTCTAAGCCTTTAACATTTTAGGGATTTGACACTTCCTAGAGTGTCAGATCCCTCTCTGTACCGGTCCTGACTGCACAGCTCCCCCTCCCAGCTGTGTCTGAGGATAGGAGCATACAGTGAGAGAGACAGCAGGAGGGAAGGCTGCAGTAGCTGAGCTATGGCTACTGTACTATATGCTTGTGCTCAGGCATGTTACTATGCGGATTCATAGAGCTGCTGTATATATGCCGGGAGCATATTTCTGTGCTCTGTCTGCCAGCATATATATACTGGTTCTCCATGTGTATCCTGATGGCTACAATACTGAACACCTGTAAACAAAGGCTGAGCAACTATTTCTAATCCAGCAGCCATAGATTAGCCATTGCAACCTTCTCTCCATGAATCCCTACAGGCTCTCTATGAGCAATATAGTACCATAGGAGCAGGGAGGGGGAGAGCTGCAGCTGGGGCCCATTGTGAGAGGGGTCTGATATTCCCACAAGTGTCGGATCCCTAAGAAAGTTTGATGGTTAAAAACACAAACATAGATTTGAAGACCCAGTCTGCATCCAGCACACACAATATACAACACTCTGCATGTGTCTCGTATGAGACTTGGATCTGGTGACACGGCCTCTGTACAGCAGCATTTCTCATCTTTGATTATTGTGAAATCATTGTCACCGCAACAGCCAAGCTGGGCCATACACTGGTAGAATATTGAAGGAACGTAGAAATCTCATCAGAACATTTGAGACTTGTAGAATGTCGTTTGAAAACTAACATTCGATTTTGGAATGAATGGAGTTTCCTGAAGGAAAAACCACGTTCACTGATAGAATGTAATTTGTTCCAAAAAGATTTTTCTATCCTGCTCCTTCGATTCTTGTTGTCACACAAACTTCTACTGATGTATGGCCAGCTTTAGTGAGGGGTCATCAGTCTGCATAGTGCTAACAACCCAACTGAGGGTCCGATCCTTCCCCACAATCCAAACCGGAAATAAACCATTCTGGATGGACATACACTTTTAACTAGGCTGAGAAGGTTTTTTTCTAGCACAGGTGAACCCCGTTGTCATCCATACTCCTGAACGGTGATATAGAAATGTTCAATTTCTTTAAAGAAATACATCTCGGGGGGG